TTTTCTCAGATTCAATTGTAGTTTCTCAGTGAAATTTTGTCTTTTGAGAAACTTTTCATGCATTTTGTATGCAGAAAAAACATTTCAAAGGGAAAATGGGCATTTTTTCACAGTATTTTCAAGATTCAAACAAATTAAAAGGAACAGTGTTCATGAGACAATTACCCATCAATGTACTTTGTTCTCCTTGTAGTAGAGATAGTGTCTTGAGATGAATAATCATGAACTGTGTTTTAAAATAATGGTGATAGCAAACTCAACACAGAAGTAATATGTTGAAGTATGATTTTTTGGCATTAATTTTGTTGAAAAAGAGGCATGATTTTTTTTGAAAGACGAACTGAGCATTTAATAACTCACTGTTAAAACACAGTTTACCCATTCACGCTAATAACAAGAAACATAGGCGTCAGTGGCTACAACAACCCTAAATTACACTTTGATGTTAGGAAATATTTAAACGTTCCCAAAATGATGTCAAAACTATGGTTACATAGGTCAGGGAATAATTGATGAAATAACAGAAGCAAATGAAATATTATTTGAGAAGCAAAAAAACAAGTCTTGAAATCTGGTGACTATTTGTATCTACCGGTACGTTCTATTCACATAACCATACATGTATGTCGCTGATAGCTACCCACAACCTGATGTAATAAAATAAGAGGGCACTCTACAAAACAAAAACTATTAAAGATGACAAACCTCTTCCAAATCAACAGGTCTGATAAATAACTTAAACTTCTTATCAGATGCAAGTCTTGTTAGAATACTTCTCAGGAAGAGTCTCAATTCTCTCATTGTCACTTCCTCTTGTTGTTCAAGTTTTTTGATTTCTTCTTCCGTTAACTGTCTTGGTTCCGGCGCCTGTGCCACAGGAAGCTCTTCTAATAATCTGGCAGCTGTGTCGAACAACAAAATGAATGCCAATCTGATTAAAATCTATAGAAAAAATTACCTCTAGTGCCCAGAATGAGAGATGGGAGACATTCTCTCCTAACTCTCAAGAAACAATTTTCTGGGAGGTACATGCCCCTGCCACTGTTAGCCAACTAAACGGCATTATTAACAACTACAACTTTAGAAAAACAGAGTTGCCAACCTGCATGTTTCCTTCTTCGTGGAGCTTTGGATGCTTGATGTATTATCAAATCTTCAAAAAATTCCTGTCTTTCTTCAGTTGTCGGAGATCTTATATGAAGCACTTCACCTCCGACCGGATTAAATAACTGCTGTAACTACAATGACAAAATATACACAGTGATTCTTCTCTTAGCGGCCGCCTTTATAACATCTCCCAATAGCAAATTCTCAATATCGTCTAAGATGACCAATGTCTGCCACACATCAAACTATTTTATACATGATACAGAGTAACATAGTCATCTTGTACATTTTGAAAGTTTAATACAATATTTAAAACCTGTCTATCTTTCTCTCACTGATTTGACTATGTAGTGTAATGTACTGTACTTGTCTGCTGTTTTGTTTTGTTCTTGTGAATTGTATTACATTTTGTACTAGTAATCTCAAGCAATATTTTAAACATGTTTATGAGGTTTTTCAGAATATCATAAACCCTGGCCTTTTTGTGAAACCTGATGGTTACTGAAAAAAAAGCCATGGCAAAATACGCTTGCATTGATGTATCCAGTAGGTTGCAAATGTACCAATCATCATGCCTCCCTTCCATTACACTGCCCTCATTTTAAAACAAGAGCTGATTGGTTATTTGATTCTAAAACAAGAGCTGATTGGTTTATATTTGATTCTAGAACAAGAGCTGATTGGTTATTTGATTCTAAAACAAGAGCTGATTGGTTATTTGATTCTAAAACAAGAGCTGATTGGTTATTTGATTCTAAAACAAGAGCTGATTGGTTATTTGATTCTAAAACAAGAGCTGATTGGTTATTTGATTCTAAAACAAGAGCTGATTGGTTATTTGATTCTAAAACAAGAGCTGATTGGTTATTTGATTCTAAAACAAGAGCTGATTGGTTATTTGATTCTAAAACAAGAGCTGATTGGTTATTTGATTCTAAAACAAGAGCTGATTGGTTATTTGATTCTAAAACAAGAGCTGATTGGTTATTTGATTCTAAAACAAGAGCTGATTGGTTATTTGATTCTAAAACAAGAGCTGATTGGTTATTTGATTCTAAAACAAGAGCTGATTGGTTATTTGCTTTAATGATGTTGATTCATGAATGTTCAAATTAGCTCCCAAATACAGACAGTGCGACAAAGCCTGACTCGGTTGCGTGATTTGTGCCCTCCGTGGGGCTCCAAACCCAACACATTCCTGACAGAACGATGTAGTTTTTTACTTCCGACAATTTTTTGTTTATACCATTCAAATTGCAGGAAC